CTCTCGGGTTGTATATACGAGTCTGTGTGTGTAGAGTCGTGTTAGCAGGAGTGTGTGAAGCAGGCAGTTGGTCTGCTATCTGTCACCGGATCTTATCTCGGTGTCCAGATACAGACAGGAGCTCTGCTGGTTTGTGAGGGCAGCAGAGAGGACCGCCGCTTCAAGACAGTCGCAGTTTCTTATCCACAAACTCGGCACCGCACTGCCCTACAGAGCGCCGTGCTTCTGATCGCCCTACTTTCCTATGCGACTGTCGCTCTGTCAGTCTAAAGTTGGGAGGACAGCTGAGCAAAATGATTACATTATGCATTAAATATGCTGCAGTGTCCAATTTTTCATTTTCCTCCTCTGTCTCCTTCAACCCTCTTTCTCCGTCCTGCTTCTTTCTAACAGATCCGATGGGAGAAGAACATCACGCTTGGAGAACCTCCTGGATTTTTACACTCATGGTGGTGGTATGTATACACTGATCTGTACTTTTCTATTTTTCTTGGCTACATACGCTTTTGTTTTTTCCAGCAGTTCACATGTATACTGTAAAGGTACCCTTAATGGAATGAAAGGAAGTGCAGAGGTGGAGAAGGACGGTAATTGCAGGGAATGCTAAGTGCATCATCTCACACATGTTTAAATGCTGCACTCCTGGCATCCCTCTGACTGACAAGTGAGTTAACGTCCCCTGGTCTGTTATTTAAACTGCTTTTTTATACCTCTCATTGAAGTGTGTGCACTGCTCAATTAGAGTCAAACTCGGAGACAGATCCTCTGTCCTGTGACAGTGTTTATAGTAACTCCAAACTGAGTAAAAAGCTAGCTGTAGGGAGATGCAGTGTGTATCTGTTATCCTCTAAAATGAGGGTAACAGCACATATTTTCAGACAGTCTGCCCGAGGAGATGTTGATAGTGTTGTAATGGGCTGTACACATGCGAAGGGTGAAAAATTGGATAAAAAATGAAATTAACAAAGACAGTTGGAAGTTGGAAAGACAGCTCAGTGGCTGTGAGTACCAGATGTTTGGTTTTCAAAATGTTCAGCGAGAACGTAGGCACCCTCTGTCCAATGGTAAATGGCCTGCATTTGTATAGCGCTTTTCTAGTCCCTAAGGACCCCAAAGCGCTTCACACTACATTCAGTCATCCACCCATTCACACACACATTCACACACTGGCGATGGCAAGCTACATTGTAGCCACAGCTGC